GAGACACGGTTGAACGTTTTGAAGTTCTTTTTTGCTGTGGGTTAAATGCAGCTGAAGGTTCACTTCAATGTAAACCCAGTTGCTGATAAAACATCAGATGGCAGGACCCGGGCGATACTTTTATTGTTGGTGTTTTTGATGACATCAATCACACAGACACAGAGACACACAAACACACACAGAGACAGAGACACACAAACAGACACAGAGACACACAAACACACACAGACACAGACAGAGACGCACAAACACACACAGAGACAGAGACGCACAATCATACACAGAGACCGAGACATAGACAGACACAGAGACACACAAACACACACAGACACAGAGTCACACAAACACACACAGAGACACACAAACACACACAGAGACAGAGACACACAGACCCAGAGACACATAAACACACACAGACACAGAAAAACACAGAGACACACAAACGCACAGACACAGAGCTACAGAGACACATAAACACACAGACACAGAGACACATAAACACACAGACACATAGACACATAGACACAGAGACACATAAACACACAGACACATAGACACATAGACACAGAGACACATAAACACACAGACACATAGACACACAGAGACACACAGACACAAAAAAACACAGACACAGAGACACACAAACACACATCAGAAAATACAGCAAACTACAAATCACTTCCTGAGATGCAGACCGAGATCAAAGGATGGAGGAAGGTGCGGCTGATGTACTGGGACTGTAAAGTATAATTAGTTATGACAATCACCGTGATCACTAAAATCGTTCAGTGGTGTCAGCAATAACCACATGACAAGGACCCTGAGAATTATTGTGGTTTTAAATTGACTCGAGCGTCTTATTACAAAATCATGCAAATAAATGTGGAATGTGATTCCCTCTCGTGTACTCTGAGCTTTGATCCACACTGGACCCCCTCCATTTCCTTTCCCTCTCTCCCACACGGTGAGTGCTGCAACGTCGGAGGTGGAGTCCTTTGGGTGAGACTTTAGACTGATGTACCCTGTTTAGGTGGGATGTTAAAGATCTTGAGACACTGTTGGAAAAGAGAAGGGAGTTTTTCCCGGTGTCCTCACTGTCAATCCTCCCAGATACAATTAGTGATTCCCCACATGGCTATTCTCTCTGACTGTGGCTTTGATCATCTTTCTCCCCTTTCCCGGCTCCCAACCCCAGCTCGAGGCCCATCCAGCACTGTCCAGAGCTGTGAGGCATCCTCCCTTGTGAAAGGCGTTATATAAGAGTAAATTATATTGTTTGTCCCGCCTATTCCATGTTAATAATAATTATAAACAACAGTCCTTGTGTTTGATGATGTGCCTGTAATGTTGAAGTGTTTCAAAGGGGCTTCACAATGCAGTGACTGTGTATCATTGTGCAAACTAGAAACTCACTGTCTAGTTTTGCCAGCTTCTCTTGTGTGTTTATGGATGATCCTGATATTAATTGAGCTCCGAGCTGGAGGATTGCGAGCACAGACTGTATGTGCCTTGAGCAAGGCTGAAGAAGATAAGAATACCCCCCTCTCCTACAGAGCAGTGAACACACGGAATAGGAATTAATGCTGCACCGATTAACTTCTTAAAAAAAAACCTCAGCTTGATATCTGGTTAGAAGGATAAGTACAAACCGAGGTGATCAAGGGCTCCGTGGATCCAGATGGTAACTGTGCAGGCAGCAATTTCAACCGGAGAATGTAGCTGTCAGACTGACCACATGTAATATGAATAAGGTGCCATTTGATGCAGCCTCTTTATTGTTAAAGTGCTCCACAGGCAACTGCTGTCAAGTGTGGTGACTATGTATTTTGTAAGTGAACCGTCGGCTTGCCTTGGCATACCTGCTCAATGTTTGCCAATTACCATTCGATCTCCTGATCTGCCATGTTACCTGTCTGTTCCATGTCATGCCATTCTGCAGAAACTCTTTATGATTCGGAGTACCAGAACAAACCGTCCTGCTGCAAAGGAACAAACTTCTCGACTCCATCCCCCGCCGTCTCATGGGCTTTCCAAACTCGAGCACCATTTAGTCTGACAGCCTCAGGGTACCAATCTACATTTCAAAGAGCACTTGATGGCTGTGGATGTCTCATTTGCTCAAGACTGGAGTCTCGGTTGTACATTAAAAAGTGCAGGGATGTTTCAGTTTTGTTCAAAAGGAGCAAATGATCGCCCTGTTTTGAAACTGAGCTGAACGAAACCCCAATCAGTAAAAATTTCCTGCAGTTGAAAGATTTGATGTGCACTTTTACTTTTTCCCCTCACTGTGTAATTGTGCAACGTTTGTTAGGTCAGGGTATCAAGGGAAAAGGGGCCAGGGTGAGCAATTGGAGTTGAAGTACAGATCAGCCATGATTTTATAGAATGGCAGAACAGGGTCGAGGGGCTGAATGGCCTCCCCCTGTTCCTATGTAACATTCCCTTTATCTCTGAGCTGCAAATGCCTATTTGTGAAAGTATGTGTCTTTTCTTTGAGAGGACAAAGATCTAATACGATTTAATTTTTTTTTAAAAGAGACAAAAAGATCACAATGGGGGTCGTACAATATTTAAACAACTCCAAGGCGAGAGAGTGGGGACCATTTGCGAAATTGATCGAAAGTATGAGATGAATCAAACAGATTGGAAAAAAACACATTTCTGAATTTGAAAATGCAATTGGCTTACTGCCCATTAATAAGCTTCTTGATTTTTTTCCCCCCTGATGGTTCAAGCCAATGAATCATTTATCCCTTGTTTTGTAATGTGCATTCATTATACAATATTACTCCAAATTGCATTCAAATTATTGGACTGGAATCTAAAATCTAAATGTCTTTTCCATAGGGTATACAAGCATTTTTTCTTCCATTAGCCCATATAGGCAATCATTTTCACCCTGTCCTGGAATGCTGTTGCTTGGTGATTGTAGTTAAGGAATAATTCCCCTCCTCCCCGCCATTTCATATATAATAAAATAGGGAATAATTAATTTAACGTTCAACCGATTTTTTGTAACTCTAGCTGAGCCAATGTCTCCAGCCTCCATTGGAAAATATGGCCTTTTTTTGTTAAAACTCTTTATTTTTCATTTCCCCAAACACAATATCATGACGTCAAGAACACCACCCAAACTTGGGGGAGAGAGACGATCAATTTTCCGACAGTGTCCACATGGCAACCGTGTTATAACCTTTTTTGTTCGCCCTCTCCCTTGCCACCTTCAAGACCCATCTCAAGACCCTCCTCTCCGACTGTGCTTTTGATCTCCCTGCTTCCCCCACTGAACCTCCACCCTCCCTGATCCCGACCCCCAGCTCGGGTCCGTAACTCTGACTGTCCAACGCCTTGGGACGTGCTCCTAACGTGAAAGGCGCTTCACAAATGTAATTTTGTTGTTGTTGTTCGCTGTACTCCGACACAAGATCACTGGCAGAAAGAGTCTTAGACATATATATATGCATAGAGTATATAGCAATCTTTCGATTTGAAACAATGCCTTAGGGCATCAGGAAGACGTCTCGTAGCGCTTCATTCACACTGTGGTTTTGCTTTGTGGATGAACACGGCAGCCAATTTGCGCACAGCAAGTTCCCACAAGAAGTAAACGTCAGCCAAGACACAAAGAGAGAGAAACTCCCTTCTCTTTCTGCCGCGGAGACCTTTGTCATTCCCCCTGAACCGGGCACTAACGTAGGGTGACCACACGCCCTCGATTTCCGGGCACAGGCTCCGGACGAGCTATTGAGTTCCTGGGGCCAAATTTGCCCCGCCTCGAGCTCAGCAACAAACTGAGCGAGAATAACATTCCAGAATGGTTACACATCAGAGCCACACAGCCATTAACCCTCTCTCCGACAAGCTTCTCCAGTAAATGCCAGCATCAGGAATTGGAGTCCTGTAGCTCAGGACTCGCGAGTTAGAGCACTCGCTTTGCAAATGAGAGACCTGAGTTCAATTCCAGGCAGAGGGCGAAACCTTGGGCAAGTTTCCTTACTCCACACAGAGCCTAATAATAATCCCTCCAAAACCAAAAACAATAATAAATTGGTCATTTTCAATCTACGACTGTTTGTGGGACATTGCTGTGCGCAATTGGCTGCCGCGTTCGCCCACAAATATACAGTCAATTCACTTTACAGTGTGTTCTGTGAAGCGCTTTGGCACGTCCTCCCGACGTGAAAAGCGCTATATCAAATTCAAGGATTATTATTATTGTGTTGAGTTGAATTGTTTTGCGTGTGGGATGTGTCCCAGGATTTGGTTTACAAAATATGGTCAACCCCACAATCAGATGGGGATCTTGGCCCCTGCGACAATGCGGCGCTTCCCCCCCATTGCAGTGGAGGAGCATCAGCCTGGACTGTATTGATCTCAAAATCCCCAAAACATTGGGGAGTGGAGTGTGGTCTCGAACTCGCGATCCTCAGACTTGGAGGCGAGAGCGCTCCTGACTGCGCCACGGGATGAGGGGGACCCGTCACCAAGGTGACTGCCACTCAGCTGGTTACCAGGGCGACGGACTCTGCCTCCACCCCCCCCCCCCACTCTCGCGGTCCTCGCCCCGCTCACTCCTCATTGGCCAATGCCAGACCATACGGGCGGCCGGTCGACCAATCGGCGAGGTCCAGCGCGCCCCACGTGGGCTTTGGTTCGCGTCTGCACTCCTCCCCCTCCACCCGATTGGCTGAAGCCGCGCGCCCCGCCCTCCCGTCACTCAGGGGAGCCACGTCGCGCGCGGCGTTTCCGTTCGGGCCGGTGGGTTGGTCGGTCGGTCGGTGTAACGGCAGTGTCCATGCGAACTCCGACTCCAACGGCCGCCTTGGAGGGGCGCGGGGCAGAGGCGCGCGCTCTCCCACCGTGAGGGAAGACACCGGCTTCACCGCGACCGCGGCGGTGCGGATCATCGTCAATGTTATTATTTTTGAGGAACAAAACGGGAACAGAGAGAAAAAAAAACCCCGTCGGGGGCGGGCGCATGAGGATATCACCGAGAGGGGGGACCGAGCCGAGCGGGAGGGAGGGAGGGAGGGAGGTTGATTTCTACGGGTTCACAGTTGCCTTCACGTTTTAAAGGTAAGGCGCGAGCGACAGGGAGTGGTGGTGGTGGTGGTGTTTTTTTTTAAACCGAGTTGTTCGTTATTCTCCTCAGATGGGCACTGGCCTGTGTGTGTGTGTGTGTGCGTCTGTTTGACTGGTGTGTGTGTGTCACTACCCGGTGTGTCTGCGGTAGTGCGGCCGCCCAGAGGACGGTGCAGCCACCTGCGAGTCAACCGAGCTTGGTTGGAGCCGGAGCGCAGGGAGGGAGGGAGGGCGGGAGCTTCCGGCGCGGGTGCGATTGGTCGACCTGCCGTCGCTCTGTCTGCCGATTGGCGGGCCGGTGCTGTCAGTCAAGCCGGCGGGCGGCGGCGGCGGAGAGGTGGGGGGGGGGGGTCCCAGCGGGTTAGGCTGCGCCGGGAGCTGGAGTCGGCGCCCCGCTCTCCCCGTGTCCCCGGGGGTCCGGTCGGTGTGTTGTGTGTAATGTGTTTTTTGTGGTGGGGGGCGATTGGGGTTTTGTCCTGTCCTCATCTGCCCCCCATTCCTCGCTATAAACCAGCTCTTTGCTCTCACTCTCTCTCTCACTCTCTGTCGTCCGCCCTCTCTCGCTATAAAGAACTCGAATTCTGTGGGAAAAACAGCTGCTCTTCCCGAGCCTCCTCCTCCCTCCGTGTTCCGGCGAAGTGTCTCTCCCGAAGAGGTTGACCAGTGTACGTGTGTGTGTGTGTGTGTGACTGTGCCTCTCTCCTTCCACCCTAAGCCCCGATTGATGCCTGTCCTTTATTTTTAAAAAAAGGCTAACGTTTGTTTTTTTTATTTTGAAAAGCTTCCACTGTTTTTATGTCGAGATATTCCCACGGGATATGAATTTACTTTAATATCAAAAACTCTGACATAATTCTGTGTCCCTGTGATTCTCTCCCCCCTCCCCCCCCCCCCACTTTGGCTTTCAGCAAATAATGCAAATAATGCCTTGTTTTTAGCTTTTTAAAGTTGCTATTTGTAAGGTGCAAACGGTCAGTGGCGGTGGTTTTTATGTTGGGAGAAATGGCAAAATCACAAATATCTGTGCCCCAGTTCCTTTGACTTTCAGTATGGAAGAACAGGAGGTAGAATAAGAAGACTTATTTGTTTCATTAATGGGAGCTTCTATATCTTATTCAAAGGCGAATGTCACTTTGCTGCTTATTTTGAGAAGTTGTTGCCACTTCGTCTGCCACGTATTGCCTTTAAAATTCATTGATGTTATCTTGTTATCGGATAAATTGCTGAACCTGTGTACAGCTAAATATTGCTTTGAAAAGATTAATTTCATGTTGGCTGCTGGCAGTGATATTCCAGCATAAAATGTTTATTTTATACAATCTATACAAATCCACACAATTTAAAAATTGCCTCAATTTTTCATACTTGCCAACTGTTTCAGTCACATCAGGTTCTTTTAACCATTATTTGCCTTAATCCTGTTCAGTTTGCCCAGATTAACTGAATATCATGAAACAGTATGACAATTTTCATTTCACCAATAGAACTTGGTGAGGATAGAGTAATAGGTTTGTGGAGAAAACATGGACTTCAAGTGTTTGGATGAACTCATAAAATTTGTGAATTGATGATGTGGGTTGATAGCAGGTTGTGTTTTTCGTACCTTGTTTACCTGAAAAGCAATGTATAGTTTTGATGATCATTTTGTCTGAAGGTTGCTAAAGCACACCATAGGTGAGGAGGCATTTGACAAGAGAAAAAATACCTTTCAGAGATATCTACTTTATGCCAGTGAATTGTTGACTAGATTGTTTGTATAATGTGTTCGAATCATTTATTTAGCTCCGCTGGCAGAAGTAGTCTGCTGCATCCGAGTTTCTGCCTGCGGTCAGAAATCTGCATTAAGAGCCTTTCTTATTTTAACATGCATAAGGAGCAGCTACTTAATCAGTGTTGGTTTATCCCCCTTTCCAATCTTCGTTAAATACATTCTACCCATTGGGTCTTTTTCTTTGCCACCACACCTAGGCTGATGACGAGCTGGATAAGTCTTAGGCTGACATTTGTAACTAAGTTTCATTAATCACAAAGTGTGATTAATAAATCTTTTTGTGAACAATGTTCTATTGCTAACAGGTTGCAAATGAAATTAGGCCTGCCTTTTTTTGTCTATTCCTAATTTTTATGTGGCCTGCTTCAATAAGAAGCAGGAAAAAGAGAGCAGGAAAGGAAATATTTTTATGAGTTGTATTGAATGCAATTGGCGGTCAGCTATATCCATATGGAGAAAGTTGGTTTCATCTGCTCACGTTATTATGCCTAATACCTGTGAAACACACAAGACTTTTACTTGAATATGAAGTTTAATTACCGGATTGCATAGTAAAGCATAATCTGCTTTTATCAACCTCCAAATGCTGGAATAACAGGATGTGATAGTACTTTGTGTTCAAATAATCTGAAAACAGTAGTCATTATGGTTATTTGAAATTGAAGCAGCATTTGCCACGTGAATTTGAATGTTTTTTCTTTTATCTGTATTATTGGTGCAATGTTTTGCATATAGACAATTCATTTGTTTAAAATCACCATTAAACGTGTTTAAACTTCATTGTGGTTTATCTGACTATAGGATCTGTAGTGACCAAGCCTTGAGTGAGTTATTCAGTCAACTATACAAACAATAAATATTATGGTGTATACAGTAATATTTCTAGTTTTCTGAGATGCTGCAACAACAAAAAAGCTTGCAGTTGAAGCTGTTTCTCAGGTTGGATGTTGCATGCAGCACTCTTCCTTTTAAACAACAAACAAGATTACATTTGTATAGTGCCTTTCATGTTGGGAGGACGTCTTTAAAGACCTTAAAGAACTTCTAGAATGAGGGGAGAACCAAACTACACACATGACCACACGTGTGTGTGCGTGTGTGTCCCTTTTTTCAAACCCTTTCAGGCATACTTCATGTTAACTGATATGGTTCCTTTTTCAGTTTTCACCCCCTATACCTTTAAAGGCACTGTATCTTGTCTGGCTATAATTGCTGACAGCCTTTTGTTTTTATATTTCCATGAGCCCAGAAAGTTAGTATTTGGCTGTGGAGGGCAGCACTATAGTCTGTTTCTTGTCATAACAGATCTTTGTTACATGCATTTTGCAGAAATACGTTTCCTTTCCACAAAAATGTCAGTTGGGATGATGGGTAAGTGGATAAATATTTTAGGATTTTTTTAACTCCAGTCTTAATGTTTGTATTACATTTTTAAACTGATAAATTGTTGATTCTGTAAATCCTAAAGTACACCTGTGTATGTTTTCCCTTTTCTTTCCATCACATTCTTTAATTAGTTTATGCACTTAAATCCAGGATGTACGGAACCTCACCTGCAATGCTCATTATCTTAGTGTGTTGCGCTGTAGGGACGCCATTACTGTGGTAATGATGATGTGGCTTAACCTTTCTTAGCTGCCCCTTTCTGTATGCCAAGGGAGGGGTGTGGTTGTATTACAATTTTACCAAGTTGCACTGGCTTGAAGGCACGTATTATGCATAGCTAACCAATTTCAGTGTACACAAATTGTCTTAGAAATATTATTTGAGTTAAAAATTCAGTACAGTGTAATGGAGGAAAGAATTGCAGTATTCCAAAGCAATTCAAGACTCAGAACTGAGACTTAAGAGATCATGGATAAACAGGATGAGTAGCTGACAAGCTATAGGTTTGTCAGGATTACAGAAACTCAGATTGTACTTGTATCTTATCCAGTTTGCATACAGGTGCCATGAGCTATTTTGAATAATATGTTTTTTTAAACATTCGCTTTGGGGAAGCTCTGTAGTGAGTGTATTGTATACAAATTGTTAAATATATTGGCTTTGGTCTAGGAAGGCACTGTTAATTTCAATTCTGTAATGAGACTTGAAATTTGAACAAAAAAGCACTGACCTGTGTATGTGGGTACATTCAATATATCAAATCATTAACTATAGTGGAAAGTAATACAGCTGGAAGCAAAGTGGTTGTTTTGCAGCAGTGAAGTAAAAATGATGAACCATTCTCTTAAAGATCACTTGTTCCCAGTGGGTCTGCCTTTGTAAAACTTTAGTGGCTTTGATTGATGTATTGGTGTGTAAGAAAAGCTTTATTGCTTCTCTCACAAGTTTCAAATACATATTGCAATTTTAGTTCACCTCTTTGTGAGAAAGGACTTGTATTTTTATAATGTCGAAACATCTCAAAACATTTCACGTAATTACTGTCAAGTGAAGGCACTGTTTCTGTAGGCAAAAATGCAACCATTTGTGCCAATAAGGACACACAGTCAGCCGTGAGGTAAATTATCAATCTGGATGATTTAAAATGAACATTTTACAAAAGTGGGTTTTCAGAGAGCTGTCCAAAACCTGTATTTTTAACTAATATTTTAATGCAAAGGGATTTTCTGTACAACAACAGTTCGCTTACAGGTGGGGAGAATATCTTAAAATGTTTTACATAGACTGCGGGGAACCCTGAGCTAGGATGAGTAGGGAGGAAGTGCTGATAGAGCAGGGAGGAAGGTTTTTAAACAGGTTTTGGAAACTGTGAGAAAGTGGGGGAAGACATATATAGTTAAGACATAAAGACATTGTTGAGGGAAAGATGAGGAAAATTTGACAGTTTAGGAAAGTTTTGGTCTAGGACAATAAGTCTGACTAACTACAGCACAAAATTGCTCTTCTACATCAACATCTTTAGTTGTTGGCTCTTTAAAAGATTTAGGATCCAGGTAGAGTGAAACCTTGGGCAAGTATCCTTACTCCACACAGAGCCTAATAATAATCCCTCCAAAAACAATAATAAATTGGTCACTTTCAATCCACGACTGTTTGTGGGACACTGCTGTGCGCAATTGGCTGCCGCATTTCGCCCACAAAGATACAGTCAATTCACTTTACAGTCTATTCTGTGAAGCGCTTTAGACGTCGAGAAGACGTAAACAGCGCTATTTCAAGTGCAAGGATTATTATTATGATCTACATCAAAGTATTCTGGATCAAGTGATTCATCCTG